CGAGCATGCGCACGAGCATGCGCACGAGCATGCGCACGAGCATGCGCGCACGCATGAGCACGTGCAAAGATGAATCTCCTTTTTAAGAGAAGGGAAGAAGAGTGAAAGGAAAGGGTTGTAAGCACGTCTGTGATTATTCTGTTCTCATTCCTGCTGCTGGGAAAGCCTCCCCTCAGGTTCACAGTCACCCCCATGCCAGGCGACCACTCATGCATTCTGGCTCTAGACGATCTTTCTTCTTTAGAATGAAGAGCTGTACAGTCTCGGTCAAAGAAGAGTCCCGATGTTCATCCTGCTCAAAGAAGAAAGGTGAGACTCCGGGAGAGCTGGTGATTCAGAGCCTGGCGCAAAACGCAAGGTCCTAAGTAGTTTCTATCCAGGAAAAAGAAAACTCCGTAGTCAAGACAAGGAATAGAATCTAAGTAAGATTGTTTTTAAACTGAAGTTATTCATACTGGCTCACCACCAGGTGCACATCCTGTTGTGCTGCTGAACCTGTAGCAGAGGCAGCTTAAGTTAGATTTGGGGCCAGACGTGATGGCATAGGCCTTGGAGCGTAGTAAGCACTCAAGAATAAAATAATAAAATAAAAACTCAAACAACAAAGTTCAATCTCATTTTTTTTAAAAAGGTTTTGCTTTTGTTTGTTTTTATATTTTGTGTTTTGTTTTTGTTTCCAGACAGGGTCTCACTTTGTAGCTTTACCCAGGAACTCACTGTGTAAACCAGGCTAGCCTCAAATTCACAGATCCATCTATCTCTGCCTTCTGTGTGGTGGGGTTAAGGGTGCATGCTACTATGCCCAGCCCTAAAATAAATTTTTAATCTTACTTTTTAAGTGTGTGTATACATGCGCATGTGTGTGTGTGTGTTTATGTGTGTGTGAGTGGAGTGTGTGTGCGCACATGCACACATGCCCACACATAGGAATCCAGTGCCCACAGGGGCCATCAGATTCCTTGGGGCTGAAATTACAATCAGCTGTGGGCTGCCTGATACACATGCTGAGAACTGGACCAGGGTCCTCTGAAAGAGCACAGGCACTCCTAACTCCTGAACCATCGCTCCAACCACCTGCTTGCTTCTTTCTGAGACAGAGCCTTACTATGTAGTCCAGTGGGGAGGGGATGTCATAAATCCAGTCTCCATTCTCCTGCCTCAGCCTCCCGAGTGCTGAGATTTCAGTTATGGACCACCTCACCTGGCTTAAAGGGATCTTGTATAGAGGACTGCGTGACTCTACTTATATTCAGATTTTGGCACAAATCCTTTTTATGATCACACATGAAGAAAATCACCACGTTCACACGCTTAGCATTTACTCTGAAAGCATTCCCTGAATCTCTGTCTTAGAATCAAGGAGACATGTGAGAGGTTTAGTAAATGCCCAGGCACCTCCCTGTTGCCCTCGGCTCTGTGATGCAGAGCCATCCCCAGTGATTGTTGTTTTAACTACAGATAGACCAGTTATTTGTGTATGAGAGTGAATGAATACATGGTGCTTGTCCTTTGGAGTTTACATAACACAGTGTCCTCAGGGCTCATCTGGTTTTCTTTCTGTGTGTGAGCAGCATTACATTGCTTGCACATGGCATATCTGCTCTTTATCTGTGTGTCTGTTGACAGGTCCTTGTGCTGATTCCTCTCTTAGCTAGTGAGACTGTGTGCTTTAAACATGGGCGTTTGGGTATCTCTTTGTATCTTGACTTTGTTTCTTTGGCTATATACCCAGAAGCGGGGTAGCTGGATCTCATCCTGTAGCTTTTTGAAGAATTTCTATACTGTTTCCATACAGGCTAATAGTAGTGCCTCCGCATGACTGTCTGTGTGACTTTTCTCTTTCTCCACAGGCTCCCCATAATCTGTCATTTGTCCTTTTGATTACAGCTGTTTTAACTGGGACAGAGGGGTACCTGTTGTTTGGATTTGCTTTTCCCTGTGGGGGCCATTTGTATTTCTTCTTTTGTCTTAGTGAAGGTTTCTGTTGCTACAGTGAAATTGCATGACCAAGAAGCAAGCTGGGGAAGAAGTGGGTTTATTTGGCTTACACTTCCACATTGTAGCCCATCACCGAAGGAAGCCAGGACAGGAAGTCAAGCAGGCTTGGAACCTGGAGGCAGGAGCTGCTGCAGAGGCCATGGAGGGGTGCTGCTTACTGGCTTACTCCTGTGGCTTGCTCCTTATCTTTCTGTTCTTTACCTTTTTGTTTGTTTGTTTGTTTTCTCTCCTTGAGACAGGGTTTCTCTGTGTAGCCCTGGATTTTGTGGAACTCCCTCTGTAGACCAGGCTGGCCTCAAACTCAGAGATCCACCTGCCTCTGCCTCCCGAGTGCTGGGATTAAAGGCATGCGCCACCACTACCCTGCTTTCTTATAGAACCCAGGACAACTGGCCCAGGGATAGCCTCATCCACAATGAGCTGGTCCCTCCTCCATCAATCACTAATTTAAAAAAAAAAATCTTACATGCCTGCCTACAGCCCAGTCTTATGGAGGCATTGTCTTAGTTAGGGTTCCCGCCTCTCCGATGATTTTAGCTTGTGTCAGGTTGACAAAAACTGTCAGCACAGGTGGAGACTCTTTGGATGGTTTGCTCCTTGTTAACTTTGTACATTCTTTATGTATGCTGGATACTAACCCCCTGCCAGACGAGTCACCATCAATAGTCTCTCCTAGCTCCTGGGTTGTGTTTTCCTTTGTCGACCGTTGTTCCCTGTGCTGTGGACAAGATTTGAACCAAGGTGGCTGTTGTGTTCTCTGCTTTGGGGATCGATCTAGGAAAAGATTCCCTGTCCCAGCATCTGAGATATCTGCTGTGTTTCCTATATTAGTGGCTTCAGAAGTCTGAGTCCTACTCTGGGGTCTGCACACACTTTTCACTGGCTGCTGTGCATGCAGGGAGCCAGAGGGGGGGATGTGGGGGGAGGGGGAGGGGGCGGGGCTTAGGTTCAGTTCTGCACATGGACGGAATCTGGCTCTTCCAGAACTGTTTGTCGATGAAGCTGTCGTTTCTCAAACACAGGTTTTCACAACAGTGTTGAGAACCAGTCAGCTGTAGACGTCTGGGCTTCTTTCTGGGTTTCCGATCTGTTCTGTTGGTCTGTGTATTCCTGTGTGCCATCACCATGCTGTTGCTACCATGACTCAGTGCCATATTTTGAAGCCAGACACCTCCAGCTTTGCTCTTGGCCTCCTTTGCCCTTCCATGTGAATTTTTAGGTTTATTTTTTTCCAGTTCTGTTAAGAATGCCATCGGCATTCTGATGGGGATTGCATTGAATCTGCAGGCTGCTTTGAATCGAGCCAAAAGAACAAAGTTGGAGCTATTCCGATTTGGGGTGGGTTTTGTCCTTGCTTTTCTAAGATGTCATTGTGTTGTGCATTTGAATTCTGTCTTCTTGACCTTATTGTTTTTATGTAAACACTCATTGCTATAAACTTCCTTCTTAGTCCTTTTTGCTCTATGCCAAGGTTTTGGCCTGCTGTGTGTGTGTGTATGTGTGTATTATATATATATATATAATTTTAAGGTATTTCTAAGTTATCATAGTAAGTCCTGGGTATCTCTGTGGCATCTTCATAGTGCGTATGAAGCCTCCTCCTCCTCGAGCTCCTCCGAACCCCAGGCTCCGTCCTGCCTTCCGTCAGCCCTCTTCTGCTGTCTCATCACAGGTACATTGTGTTCTCATTTCTATTTGTTTCCAGAACATTTTAAATTTTTGGAGTGAAAGAGCACAGTCCCACCTCCTGTAGGCACACAGGTTTTATCCAGTTCTTCTCCTTACAGGGTTACTGGCTCATTCCACTGCAGCCAGCAAAGATTCAGGACAGGATTTGATTTTGCATAAACTTGTTAAGACTGGCTCCGTGGACTGACACACAGTTCATCCAGAGACAGTTCCATGAAGGTCATGAACTTGACTGGCACAGAGGCTCAGAGGCTGAGCGCTGGAGCCGCCTCTGAGTTTAGTCCTCAGCTGAGCTCCGTGACCTTAGCCTTCCCTTGTTTCCAAAGCCGAGCGGAGATGGTTAGAGCATCTCACAGGACGGTCGAGGAGACTGGACGAGTTATGCGTTTGCAGCACTGTCTGGTCCATCTCACTCTCATCTCCTCACTGCTGCTAGCTGTAGCCTCTGGGACAACCCACATCCTTTTCTGTTCACAACACCATTTTGTTAAAAGAAGACTTATTGCTGAGGACCAGCCAGATGGTGCGGTGGGTAAAGGCATTTGCCACGTAAGCCTGGCGACCTGAGTCTAATCCCACATGAAGGCGGAAGAAGAGAACAAGTTCTCAGAGTTGTCCCCCGAGCTCCACATTGCAGGCCTTGGTGCATGTGACCCACACATATCAGACACTCAGTAACAGTGATAATGGAACCTTCTGTGCTATCGGCCTTTCTGAGTAGTGCCAGTGGCTGTTCTGGTTTTCTGCAAGGCCAGTCACAAATGAGCATTTTAAATAACCTGTGTCAGGTTTTTCCGCTGCTCTTTAACCTCTATGTCACTTTTTATAAGGCTTGTGGCGTGTGTGCACCGTGCGTCTTCTGAGCCTGCCCAGTAGCTCTTTGTTCCCATAAACCTTCCTGTTATTTGAACATACAATTTCTTTTCCTTTTTTATTTTGGTGGGCCAGTTTGACAAGCTGCTTCATGGGAATTAATTGTTTGGAATTTTTCTACAAAGTATCTCCTCCTTCCTCCTCCTCCTCCTCCTCCTCCTCCTCCTCCTCCTCCTCCTCCTTCTTCTTCTTCTTCTCTCTCCCTCTCTCTCCATATATATATATATATGTGTGTGTGTGTGTGTGTGTGTGTGCATGTGCCTGTGTCTGTGTGTGTCTGTGTGTGTTTCCAGTTGCTCACCAAATATCTGTGGTCCTACTATGACCATATATGTTTAGTAATCGTCGTCATAACCAACAGTAAGAGATTGTGAGTTTTTTCATAATAGACAGACAGAATGGTATAGGTCTATAATTACTTAGGAGGCTGAGCAATAGTATCAGGGAATAGAGGATAGCCTGGTATGCATAGGGATCTGATTAGAGGCTAGCCTGGGCTTCAGAATACATTTGTCTCAAAAAAAAAGGGAAGAAAGAAAAAAGAAAAGGAAAAAGCAGAGAAAGGGAGGAAAAGGAAGGAGGAGGAAGAAGGTGAAGGAGAAAAGGAAGAGAGAGGAAAAAAAAGGAGGAAGAGGGAAAAGGAGGAGGAGGAGGGGTGTAACATCAGTATCCACAGGGACCTAAGTGTATTGCTATGATTTTTCATTAGACCATAGAAAATTCCATACCGTCCATTGCACTGGATACTTGAGACGCTAGTCTCCGAATGTTATCGACATGGAGAAAGAGACAGACAGAGGGAAAGCAGCGGTCCTCTTACCTGCCTTGTGGCTATGGGACGGTTGCATCCATACGTCGTCCCTCAGCAGAGTGGCAAGATCAACGTGAGACCGGCTGAGTTCATAACCCGCTTCGCAGTGAACGGGAAATTCGTCTACGGCGACCAGAGGTAAACACTCAATGCATCGCGGCCCAGAGGCCACTGGGGCAGTGGAGCATGGCTTGGTAGCTCTGCCGCAGTTTTCTCCTAATTAGGGCTCGAGAAGAGGAAGTATAATTTAATTGAATAGTGAGATGGTGATGGTGGTGATTTTGGTAAGGCTGGAGGGCAAACCTAGGAAACCTAGCAGTGGTGCTGAGTCTGCCCGCTCCATGGCTGCGGGGTGGTCGGTGTCGGAGGTTCCCTGTACAGGCATCACCAGGACGTCATGGGGCCTCATCTGGGGTCCTGTTTTCAGTCTGTCTGTGGATGAGGAGAATCAGGGCAGGCCATAGGAGCCCAGGCTAGCTCTTTCCCCAGGCTGCTTCCCTGCAGTCTCACTTGTGCTGGACCTGCAGCCATTCTGGAAGGCATCACCATCAGCAACTGCCATGATGTTTTTCTGTTTCAAAACCAGGGCAACGGCAATTTTAGGATACCTGCCTCAGGAACTTTTGGGAACTTTGTGTTATGAGTATTTTCATCAGAATGACCACAGTAATCTGACTAACAAGCACAAAGCAGGTAGGTAATTCTTTGAATGACATGCTTTGAGGGTAATTTAAAAATGACGACTTCAGCAAGGTGTGATGAATCACACTAAAAAATCTCAGTGTTTGAGAGGTGGCAGTAGAGGATCAGGAGTTGGAGGCTAGCCTGGGCGACATAGCTAATCCTTGTCTAAATAAAGAATATCTCAATATCTCATTGCTTTTGAAATCCAAATCTTGAGTTGATTTTCAGGCCCCTGGTCTGGGTTTGGTGTTTGGTTTTGGTCTGGGTTTCAGTATGGCCCCCTGGCTGGCCTGGAACTGGCATACACCCTCTCCAGCCATCTGGTGATGGAGTTACAGTCATGAGCCACCACTCCCAGTTTGAAGACTTTGGTTGTGCAGGCTACGTTGATGACTGCAGCTTTTCCTGTGAAATTCTGCAGAGTAAGGAAAAAATAGACTCGAACAGATTCAGAGTAAAGGATGGCTCCTTTGTAACTCTGAAGAGCAAGTGGTTCAGCTTCACCAACCCTTGGACCAAAGAGCTGGAGTACATCATGTCTGTCAACACTCTGGTTCTGTGAGTAGTTTTCTGTGCCCTTAAGACCTCTGACCCAATTTCAAATGTGTATCTCTGCTTCTCTTCAGACGCCTTTAACACTGCATGGTTCTCTGTCTATATGACAGCTCAGTTTCTCAGGGGATGGGGCACAGACGCCAGGTCTATGTGGGCTAATTCCACATCCGTCCCTAGATGAGGTCTGCATTAGTTACAGCCCCTGGTACAATGTAAAGTCATGGGAGTGGTTGTTGTTCCAGGTCATTAAGGAATAGCAACAGGGAATAAGCCTCTGTGTTTGGGGAAGATGCAGGGTTTCCCCACAGGTATTTTCAGTCCACAGCTGGTGATTCCATAGAGCAGAACTTGAGGCTGCAGCAGCCAGCGGTCTGAGAACTTCCTTCACTCACCGTTGACATTAGTTGTTCAGATTAACCTGAATGTTGGCCTTTTGTAATCTACCCCTTCCTGCTTGGTATAATGGCTGGTGGTCGTGGTGGCAAAGGTGGGCCGTGCCATGCATACCTGTGTTCTCAGCACTCAAGAGGTAGAGGTAGGAGGATGAGAAATTCAAAGACATTTTGGCTACATAGGGAGTTTGTGGCGAGCCTAGACTACGTGAAACCTTGTCTCAGAAAAAAAAAAAAAACAGAAAGGCAAAGAAAGGAAGAGAGAAAGAGAGAAAGAGAGAAAGAGAGAAAGAAGGAAAGAGAAAATGAAGAGGAAAAGGAGAAGAAAGAGGAGGAGGAACGAGGAGGAAGAAGAGGAAGAGGAAGGAGGAAGAAGAGAAGGAGGAGGTAGATGGAATATAGCACAGTGGTAGAGTACTTGGTTAACATGTACACGACCCTTGGTTCAGTCCCCAGCATTGGTAGGGAGAAGTCTGGGCACATACATTTAATGTCAGTACTTAGGATAAAAGGCAGGCAGTTCTCTGAGTTTGAGGTAAACTTGGTCTTTGTAACATGTTCCAAGAGAGTCAGGAGAGACCTTGTCTTGAAACAAACATAAAACGAAAAAAGAAACAATGTATTTGCTGTGCCTCTGTACCACAAGAACTTGCCCAGTACAGCCTAGAGTGAACAGAAATCCACCATTGTCCTCGGGGGATGCTCGCCTCTAGGCTGGCGTTCACTGCCTGTTCAGTCTGGCCTGAGCTTTGTTGCCCTGCTAAGTTTTTAAGTAGGTGTAAGGTTTTATCAAACCAGCTCCATTTGCTTGTCTGATGCTTAGTTTACAGAATACTAGGAGGCAGGTACCGCCTGTGTGCCCTGTCAGCCATTCTGATACAGCTGTGGACCTTCCCACTAGGTGAACTGTCGATGTGGGAATGAGACCAGTGGGGCATTTGTCACAGAGCCCGATCTTAGCTGACGTGAACAATAAAATATAAATGAGTGGAAATTTGGCAAATCAAATACTTGGAGCCAGTATTTGATTTGGCAAACCATTTGCATTAACAGATTTCCTGCCCCTCAGGGAATGTCATGTGCTTTTCTGACCTCCAGGGGGCACAACGAGACCAGGTTATCCTTGCTTCAGGGCGGCAGCAGCCAGTCCTCAGAAGGTAAGCGGGAGCTTCAGGTTAGGGATTATAACTCACATGCATCATCTGGTATGGCTTCTATGGAGATATGTTTTTCTGTCTAAAAAAGGAGAAAATTTCCAGGGGAAGTTAGAAACATTTTGAAATGTTTGGACAGGCTCCAGGCACTTGGCTATAAGGACATAGGGGCAGGAGAGGTGGCTCAGGAAATCCAGGCACTTGTTGTGTACAGAGAGTGACCTGAATTCAGTCCCCAAAACACACATCAAGGTGGAAGGAAAGGACTGACATCACAATGTGTCTTCTCTCCTCCACCACCACACACCTACATCATATATACATCACACAAACATATATCATATACATGCAGACTATATATACATACACACATGTATATCAAACATACACATATCGTACACATGCGTATCATATACACATACACACATCATACACACAGCATAAATACATATATCATACACACATACACACATATCCGTCATACATATCAAAACACATACACATCTTACATATCATACATACATACATATATCATGTACACATACCAAAACACACATACATCATGCACATCAAAACACACATACACACCAACACACACATCATACACACACGTAAACATAAACACACATAGACATACATATAAACACATATATCATACATGTAAACACATGCACATATATACACACACACATATACACACCACACATATCATATATACATACCATACATGCGCATACACTAAAATCTAAGGGCCTGTGAGGTGGCTCAGCAGGTAAAGGTGTTCGCCTCCAAACTGACATCCTGAGTTCAATCTCCAGTAGGAGAGGTGGGAGAGGACAGGCTTCCCCACACGGTCCTTTGACCTCCACGTGTGTGGTGTAGCATGCAGGCAGCCACATACATCATTCACACACACAATAATGAACAAGAGACCCAGTTCAGAAGGCACACAGGAAACTTCCAGGAACAATAGTCCCTTGAGGTGCTAGAGCACTCAGTTCCTGTCTCCATGTAGTATAACCACATACAAGTTGCTGCTTACCTGACTGGTTCCCCACTGGACAGAGTTCCCTGTAATCAGACTGGTGTTGTCACATGGTCTCCCTCCAGCCTTATCCACGGCGTTCATGGCTTACCGTTAGACAAATGACAGACTATCACAAAGGACCTGTTTTTCCATGTCAGGGTTTTTTTTTTTTTTAACCACAGGGATGTGCTTATATTTTATATGCAAAATGTATTTTTTAAAGTATCTGAATATGGTGGTGACATATGCATGTAATCCCAGCACTTAGGAGGTAGAGTCAGGAAGATTAGGAGTAAGAGGCCGGCCTCAGCTACTTTTAAGACACTATCTAAACAAAACAAAGCAAAACCAGGAGGCAGAAACAAACAGGCAAGTCTCTGAGTTTGAGGCCAGCCTTGTCTACAGAGTGAGTTCCAAGACAGCCAGGATTGACAGAAAAACCCTGTTCTGAAGAAAACAAAAAGTAAAAACAGTCAGACAAACAAACTCCTGGGGCTGGAGAGATGGCTCAGGGGTTCAGAGCACTGGCTGCTTTTGGAGAGGAGCTGAGTTTGGTTCTCAACATATCTCGGTTCATAGTTGCCTGTAACTCCAGATGATTCCATGCTCCTTTCTGACCTTCATGGGCACTGTATGCATTAGATGCACCTACCTACATACAAGCAAGCACTCATACACATAAAACAAAATAAACATAAACAACAACACAAAAGGAACTATGAAATATGAAGTGGTGTTTCCCTGACTTTGGTGTAAGGGTCAAAAAGGAAGAGACCATGCTGAAGGTCATGGGTCATGCTGAAGGTCATGGATCATAGCTGTGCCCTTGGTGACTCTGTGCACATCTGTAGTCACTGCTCACAGTGTCTCAAACATTGGGAATTGTGGAATGAAAGGTCACATGTTTTCTGATATTTTAAGGTGTGACTCTTCTATTTCTTTTCAGGAGAAAACTAGGAAATTATCTGAGTAGAAAGAAAGCCACAAACTAAGTCTGTGTACTCTTTAACGCCCTCCACTGAGTTTCTTCCTGTGCTGTTGCCTAGACTCATTTAGACAATCCTGCAGCAGTGTGCCGGGCATATCCACAGGGACCGTCCTTGGTGCTGGGAGTATTGGAACAGATCTTGCAAATGAGGTTCTGAATTTACAGAGGTAAAATTTTATTACTACAAATATTCTCGTATAAATGGCTGCTGTAGTTAAACCAGCATATAGATCAGTCATTCTCCTACTTGTGTGTGTATGCGTGTGCATGTGAGTGTTCATGTGTGTATGTGTGTGTAAGTGTACCAGTAGGCAGTAGGACAGGACCAGGGTAGCTGGGTATGTGCCTATGAGGGGCTTGCTTACAGGGGCAGAGGCATCAGATCTTCAGGAGCTGGAGTTGCAAGCAGTTGCCACCCAGGTAAGGACTTTTATAATATTATTTTTGACAAGTTATTTCTAGACATCATATGAAGTCCAGAATTCAGGAAGAAAAATTGATAGTTGCATAAAAGTTCAAAATTGAAGCATAAGCTTCAGTGTTATAATAAAGTTAAAATAAATGAACATAAACCAGAAAGTGTGTGCTTTGTATAGTAACCATCTTTAACATATAAAGAACTTTTTATCATAAATATGTTGAATTTTATATATTTATACTTTAAACTTCATGTAAAGCATAAAGAAGAGTTATTGAATAATTTTGTAGGTGGCCAGAGAGTCGACTCAGCAGTTAAGGGCACTTGTTGGTCTTGTTGAAAAGCTATCTTAAGTTCCCAGCACCCCACAAGGGCTTACAACTGTCTGTAACTCTAGTTCCAGGAAATACAACTCCTTCTCACTTCCAAAGGCATGTCATACATGTACATAGACATGCATGCAGGCAAACACTCATAGCCATAAAATTAAAATAAATAAAACAATTTCTTAGAATAACTGAATTGTTTTGATGCTAAATTGTGGACATGACAAATACAGAGAGAATGGCCAAGAAATGTTAGAAATTGTTCATTTCCACCCATATTTAAATGGATACACGCACAATTAAACAGCGGGTCTGGAACTTTTTCATCCAGGAGAGTCTGCAAGATTTGAAAGTTTGGTAATCCTCTGTGTTGAAGAGAGTGAAAAAACAGATCCCCAGTTCTTTAGAAAGTGTAAATTAGTGAAATAACTTTGGATGAAGATTAGACACAATGCATAAAAAAATACAAGGATAAACCAGGTGTGGTACACACCTGTCATCCCGTGGTGCTCAGGCAAGATGATGATCCTTCTGAGTGTGAGGCCAGCCTGGGCTACATTCAGAGACCTAATATAAAATAATATGTATTTAGGTGGGGCACAATAGTGCACCCCATTAATCTAAACACTTGAGAAATGGAGGCAGGAGGAGCTCTATGAGTTCAAAGATACCCTGATCTTCATAGTGAGGTCCAGGCCAGCCTGGGCTACATAGTTGACCTTGTCTCAAAAAAAAAATATATTTAATCTGAGTCTCAAAACAAGCTGTCATAGCCAACTGTGAAAGAATAAGACTGTGATGGCGGGCCACTGAAGAGGGTTTTAAATTACTAAGTGATTCCCTCCGATGGAGCCGTATACTAGAATACTTTGCAATGTACAGAGGGGCTGGCTCAGCAGTTAAGCGGGCTCAGGTTCAATTCCCAGCACCCACATGGCAGCTCACAACCATTCATTCTTCCAGTCCTGGGGTATCTGACACCCTCTTCAGGGCTCCAAAGGCACCAGGCATGCACACGGTGCATAGACATACATGCAAGGAAACACTCATGCACATCGATACATATTTACGGTATATAGAAAAGGTACCGAAATGGAGAAATAACAAAGAAAGATAGTCTGAGCGAGCCCACACCTTGTTTGTTCTGCATCTCGGCCTCAGCTGAGTTTCAGTTTCAAGTTCTTAATTTCCTCCCCTTGTAGCCAGGGGTCTGCTTGAGCATCTTACTTTTAAAAAATTATTACATCTTGTTTACTTATTTTGTGTATGTGCTTGTGTGTGGGTGAATGCATGCCACAGCATGCATGTGTGGGGGTCTGCATACACAGCTTACATGTGTGTGTCAGTGTATACACATCTTGCATGTGTGTGGGTGAGTGAATACACAGCTTGCATGTGTGTGTCAGTGCATACACAGTATGCATGTGTCAGTGCATGCACAGCTTGCATGTGTGTGTCAGTGCATACACAGTATGCATGTGTCAGTGCATGCACAGCTTGCATGTGTGTGTCAGTGCATACACAGTTTGCATGTGTGTGGGTGAGTGAATACACAGCTTGCATGTGTGTGGGTGAGTGAATACACAGCTTGCATGTGTGTGTATCAGTGCATACATAGCATACATGTGTGTGGCTGAGTGCACACCACAGCATGTGTGTGTGTGTGTGTGTGTGTGTAGTGTTTTTTAGCACTCCAGGGTCAAAAATAAGTCTGTCGTGTAAGAAGTCAGCTGGTCTGAGTACTGAATACCAAACATTCAGTCTGAGGATTCTTGCTGTTGTTTACCAGTGACTTATGATGCATCCAGAGGAGAGAATTCCTTTCTAGAATCCTGACTAAGGAATAAATATCTCTTGCCTCACTTCTCAGGTTACACTCTTCATCCCCAGAAGATGGAAACCCTTCAGAAGTGAGAGCTAATCACAGTATAAACTGTGGGAACACCCATGTGCTGGTGAGTGCAGCTAATGTTCCTTTTCATTGTCTCAGGCCAGTCTATAAAGATATGTGGACCTTTCTGCTGACTCAGCCATCTTAAGGGGCAGTGTAGGTCAGTGGTTACAGGAGACACTCTTAGAGGCACATGAAAGGGCTCCAGGGTGTGGCTCACAGACCTAGTCTTTGTAATGTTGGGTTCAGAATTTCAACTCTGCCTCAGTGTCCTTACTTGTAAGGCAGGTATGATAATAACACATCCCCTGGGTTAGGTGATGGAATATAAACCAAAAACATATTTTGAGATACAGTCCCATGTAGCCCAGGCTGACCCCAAACTCACTGTGTAGCTGAGGATTACCTTGAACTGATTTTTCTGCCTCCACCTCCACGTGCTGGGATCACAGGCATTCACCACCGTAACCACTTAAAACCAAAGCTCTCCAAATGGTGGCTGCCACACCCGCTAGGTGCTCAGAGAGCAAAGCGTTTACGATCATCACAGATTCTAACTTGGAGGCTTAGGAGTACTCATGTGGTTTGAAAGAGATTTAAATGGGCCATAGAATAGGTACCGGAGACCACTTGGTCAAACTGATAAACACAGCTAACTGAAATGTGTGTTGTATGTACAGTAATTACACCCTGGGCTGGTGGAGCTGGTGGGGCTGGTGTGGCTGGTGGGGCTGGTGTGGCTGGTGGGGCTGGTGGGGTTGGTGGGGCTGGTGTGGCTGGTGTGGCTGGTGGAGCTGGTGGGGCTGGTGGAGCTGGTGGGGCTGGTGGGGCTGGTGTGGATGGTGTGGCTGGTGTGGATGGTGTGGCTGGTGTGGATGGTGTGGCTGGTGGGGCTGGTGGAGCTGGTGTGGCTGGTGGGGCTGGTGGGGTTGGTGGGGCTGGTGGGGCACACTGCCATATAGAACCTTGGGAGGTGGAAACTGGTGAATTCAGGGCCCGCCAGGCATAAAGAGTAACCTCAAAGCTAGCTTAGGCAACTTAGTGAGACCCTGTCTCAAAATAAAAAGGTTTTAATGATTAAAAATATGTAAAGGATATATAGCTTAGTGGTAGATAGAGCTCTTGGCTGGCACATGGGAGGACCTGGGTTTGATCCCCATGTGGGGTCGGGGACACTAAGCCTGCTACTATCTGAAGACTGAAACGTGTGACAATCTATGTGGTGTACAGCAAACAGCATGAGGTGGCCAGTCAGCTCTGAGCATATAGGAGGAGGAGGAGGAAGATGAGGAGGATGAGGAGGAAGAGGACATGTGATCTGCGGAGCATGGGCCGGAAACCGCAAACATCACATGATATGGATAAAACTTGTATGGAGTTATAACATGTCTTCCTATCTTACTTATTCGTTTAGCAAATACAGCAATCTCATAGAAATGGACATATAAGCCATTGTAATAAAATCTTCTGGCCTCTATATGGATAGCTGTGGATACGGTCCACACGCACACACACAAACACACAAACACACACAGAGGCATGCACATACACTCAAATGGATCCAGGCTTTAGTGTTAGATGCCTTGGTTTGGAGTCTGGTGACGCTCTCAGCTTCAGAAACGGAACCCGGCTCTCTCGGCTTCAGAATCGGAAGCTGTGTGCGGATCGCGGGGTGTGCGGCACATGCGTACTCGTGCACAGCTGATGGAGGCACTGGTGCCAGCTGCTCTGACAGCACCCAGGGCTCTCACTGTGCTCAGGTAGGAGCCGTGCTGACCGCTCGGTCCTGTCTGTCTGTCCAGGAGTCCGCTAGGGAGCTCTTTGCAGTGAGTCCTTCCGAAACAGAAGGCCTGGGGGTTGCCAGGCAACAACAGAGCACTGAATCCGCCCATTCTCACGGACCACTACTTGGTTAAGTTGTCCCTGTCACCAGACACCGTGTACATTCCCAAAGTCTCTGTCTTCAACATTGTGTTCTTAAACACACACGACTTTTGAAGAAGCAGGTAGTTTTAAAAACAAGATTGTTTTTTTTCCATCAGGGAGTGCATTCCTGTAATCCCAACATTTAGAGTATTACTGTGAGTTCAAGGCTATCTTGGGCTACATAGTGAGCACTAGGCCAGCCAGGGCTAATAGAAAGACCCTGTCTCAAAAAGCCCCCTCCCAAAACACCCTCAGGATCTCCACACCTGGAATCCTAGCACAATGGTCAGCAGTCACTGTTTTTTATGATTTTTAATTTTTATGGTATGTGGAATGTTTTGTCTTACATGTATGCAGTCACCTCAGAAAGGTTATTGTCTCCCCTAGAACACGAGCCTCGGGTTATGAGCTGCCATGTGGGTGCTGGGAATCATACAGGGCTCCTCTGGAAGAGTTCTTAACTGCTGAGCTCTTTCTCCTGCCCTGTGTGTCACTCACTAAACCTGTCACAAAGGATCTGGTCATCAGTTGAGCCAGTTTTGGCTTTTTGGTAATTCAAATAAAGTTTTTAAAAGTATTTTCATCTAGGAAAAAAAGTCCATTCTCAAGAATTACCAAGAAACTAAAAAAGACTCATGCTAAACAATAAAATAAAATAAATAAGTAAAAGTATACGAGCCCTGGAGAGATGGCTCAACGGTTAGAACTTACTGCTCTTGCAGAGGACTCTGGTTCAGTTCCCAACATCCAGATGCTGGCTCATAACCATCTGTAACTCCAGTTTCAGGGTATCAAACCCCGGATCCAGGCCTCCTCAGTCACCAGGCACACGTGCAGTGCACATATATACATACAAACAACACACTCAGATATGTAAAATAAATAAATCTAAATCCTTTATTAAAGCATAAGATTTAATCACTCACTTACGACGTGACTACAGATGCAGTAGCTGGGCTCATGCCTGACTGCTCTGCTGTAGCAAATCCCAGTGCCACCGGAGTCACAGGGCTGGGGACCGAGCGAGCCCTCATCTCACCCAGGAACTGCCCTTTACTGTGTTTTAACCTTCTCTGTCCAAACTGTGTTGTATTTCAATCTCATCTCAGCTTCATCCCCTGCCTGTCCTAGAACTCACTCTGTAGACCAGGCTGGCCTTAAACTCAGAGATCTTCCTGCCTCTGTCTCTCAAGAGCTGGGATTAAAGGCCACCACTGCCCAGCTCTCATTTCCTTTTTCTTCTTAAAACAATTATTTATTTTATTGTTATATGAGTGCTCCATCTTCATGTACTCCTGCATGTCAGAAGAGGGCATCAGATCCCTGGTTCTGTGGTATCCATGGTTGCGAGCCACCGTGTGGTTGCTGGGAGTTAAACTCTGGGAGAGCAGACAGTGCCTTTAACCACTGAGCCATCTCTTTGCCTCATTTCCTTTGTCAATCTCTGGCTTCCCAGAGTTTCAGAATTTGTTGCTCTGTCTCGGGCTCCACTGGGGGGTCTTTCTTCGCAGCGTAGGCAGACAAATGTCTTCCCGGCTCCTGCATGCACAGCCTCCAACTCACAACTCTCTGGGAGTCTGCCCTCAGTCAGCAGTGTGATCTTCCACTAGGAAATACATATGCTCATTTAAAATATGTCAGGGCCCCGGAGAGATGGCTCAGTGATTAAGAGCACTAGCTGCTCTTCCAGAGGACCCAAGTTCAATTCCCAGCACCCACATGACACATCCTCTGGTACTGCATGTATATGACACACAGACACACATGTGGTTAAGACACACACACACATACAATAATATTTTAAAACCCAACTTCTGCAATTTAAGACATGTATTTCACCTTCCCTGACTCTACCTGATTTTAAAGACATGCGTTCTGAGTTCCTTCCTGTCGCTGTGATAAAGCAAGAAGCGGCTCAGAGGAGAAAGCTCACCGTTCCCAGTCACAGTCCACCACTGAGGAGAAGCTGTTAGTCAGAGCGGACAGAAATGATTCACACTCACTTGCTCAGCTTGCTTTTGCGTGCTCACACAGTTCAAGACACAGCCCGTGAAATGGTATCACCCACAGTCAGGGTGGCTCTTTTATAAAAATTCCTCACAGGTCCAGACAATCCCTCACAGAAACTCTCTTCCCGGGTTCTAGATTGCAGCAAGTTGACAATTAAAGCTAAGACTCGGGGCCGGAGAAACGTCTCAGTAGTTAAGAGCACTGACTGTTCTTCCTAAAGGATTTGGGTTCAATCTCCAGCACCCACGTGGCAGCTCACAACTGTCTGTAACTCCAATATTTGATGCCCTCATGCAGACATACATGAAGGCAAAACACCAATTCAGATAATAAAATAAAAAAGCTAAGCCTCACCTAGGCTTACCTCTTGTATTCCAGGTTGGGCTCAAACATGTATGAACTTCTGGTTCTCCCGCCTCATGCTGGGATTGGTGGTGTATACCACCATGCTTGGTTTATACAGTGCTGGGCATCAGACTCAGGGCTTCGTGCGTGGTAGGCAAACACTTCACTAACAGAACCTCGGACACTGCCATTGGCTTTGCTGTTCTTGACTACAGTTGTGCTTTTATATCTATTTTATGTGCAAGAGTGTTCTGGCCACATATATGTCTGTGCATCACACGCGTGTCTAGTGCCTACATCTAGAGACCAGGGAAGGGCACTAGATCCTCTCGAACTGGAGTTACAGATGGTTGTGATCCCCCAGCCACCATGCAGAGCCCCTGCAAGAGCAGCCAGTGCTCCTAACCTCTGAGCCATCTCTCCTGCCTCACTGACTACAGGTATTTATTGATGACCTCCCTATACTTACATAACCCCGTGTTTTAACTTACAGGTGACGGTGCCCAGCTGGGGTTTGATGCCCTGTGTGACAGCGACAGCACAGCCATGGCTGCGTTCATGAATTACTTCGAAGCAGAGGGGGGCCTGGGCGATCCCTGGGACTTGAGTGATATCCAGTGGACACTCTAGCATTTTGACTTTGAACTCTTAACATGAGAATCATTTTAGAGTGTTTCACTCTTGAGCACTGTATTGATACTTTTTAAATCTCTTATTAATAGTCTACCAATTTTTATATATCTACACTTTACTCTCACAGGGATGTGTGGAGTCAGACATTTTCCTCCAGAGTGAAACAGCCAAGTTTATCAATCTCTCTCTACATAGTAAGCAAGCAGCTTAGGGGTCAGGCTGCCATATTTTTGCTAAAATATTCTGACCAAAAACTGCTACCAATCACATTGTTAGGGTTTGTTTGTTTTTGGTATACTTTTGTTTTTGAGTTTGGGATTTTTGTTTTGTCTTGTTTTGTTTGTTTTTGTTTTTGTATTTCAAAACAGGGTTTCTCTATGTAGCCCTGGCTGTCCTGGAACTCACTCTGTAGACCAGGCTGGCCTTGAACTCAGAGATCCTCCTGCCTCTGCCTCCCAAGTGTTGAGATTAAAGCCATACATCACAATTCCCAGCTTAACTACAATCCCTGAAATCATGAGGCAATGAAAAATTATGTAGAAACCAACTTTCTAGTATTAATTTAGATTTTTAGAAGGCGTTTTAAAACAGTAGCCTACCCAGAGATAGCTCAAATGGAGTGTAAGAATTAGGAGGATTTAAAATTTGGCCTAGGAATGCAGCTCAGTTGACAGAGTCCTTGCCTTGCATGCACAAAGCCCTGGGTTCAGTTCCTAGCACTGTAAACCAGATGTGGGTGTGCACACTTGTAATCCTAGCACGCAGGAGAATCGTAAGTTCAAGGTTAGCCTTGACTACGAAGCAAATTGGAGGTCAGCCTGGGATTTATTAAACCATGTCTTTAAAAATAAATAAAATAAAAAGATTATTTAAATTTTTACCTATTTGCCTTTCTTAAAAGTTGTACTTTATTTTGCGCACACGCACACACACATGTGTGCGTGTGTAGGGGGAGGGTGTGGGTTGTTTTCCCTTCACACATGTCTGTGTACTACTCGAATGCCTGTACCTGTAAAGGCCACAAGAGGGCATCAGATCCCCTGGAACTGGAAGTACAGACTGCTGTGACTTGAAGTGTGGACTTCTGGAAGAGAAGCTAGTGCTCTTAACCACAGAGTCATCCTCCGGCCCCCAAGTCACACCGATTACCTTGTGTTTTTTTATTTAATTGTCTTTGCTGAGTACACTCACATGGGCCCTCTTCTTTGCTTTACAAATGCAAATTAGGTAATGTGGGCTGTAACAGGGAAGCTCTTGGGTCGATTGCAGGTTCAAATCCACTCTTTCTTCTTTGTGGTGCTACATCTCCCCACCCTGACCCCTCAACACCTGAACAGCTCTCTGTACCCTCACCTTAGTGTCCTTCTGTGACCTTGCATCCTGCCAACTCTTGGGGCTATAGTAGATCAAGCAGAACTTCTGTCAGACCTGTGATTGGCAAGTCTCACCAGCGTGCTGGGGACCTCGTGTGCCATTTTGCAATGACTGAGTGCATAAGGATGTGTCCACACACTGTCTACTTGAGCTGACACATGTCCTTGATGATGAGGGGCCAGCACCCTTCCTGGGCTCCACTTGAGACATCCAGGTTCAGCATGAACTGAAGAACCCCTGCCCAAAGGTGTTGGAGTGGATTTGGAAGCCTCAGCTTTGAAGAAGCATGAAGGATGCCACTCTCTGGAGTCCAGACAGGGTCTGCACACACACTTCACTAGGGGACAGCACACAGTCAGGCAACACTTCATTAGGGGACAGCACACAGTCAGGCAACACTTCATTAGGGGACAGCACACAGTCAGGCAACACTTCATTGGGGACAGCACACAGTCAGGCAACACTTCATTAGGAGACAGCACACAGTCAGGCAACACTTCATTAGGGGACAGCACACAGTCAGGCAACACTTCATTAGGAGACAGCACACAGTCAGGCAACACTTCATTAGGGGACAGCACACAGTCAGGCAACACTTCATTGGGGACAGCACACAGTCAGGCAACACTTCATTAGGGGACAGCACACAGGCAGGTTTCTAGCAGCTCCTGTTAGAGGACACTATATCATGGTGATGTGCCCTAAAGAGCAGGTGGCCTGATGTTGCACATCTGTAATTCCATCACCAGGAGGCTGAGGTTGAAGGACACCTGTGAATCTGAAGTCGGCCTGGGCTACATCGGGAGTTCTAGGTCGTCCTAGGCTACAGTGTGAGTCCTTGTCTCAAAACAAAAGCAGGTGGAACAAGCCTTCGTGATCCGAGAGGAGCTTCGGGGGCCAGGACCTTTCACAATGGCTGTGCCGCTCTCAGCCAGAGGACAGACCGCTCCTGAGACTCGTGGGCAGAGGGCTGTGTTCAAGCTCTGTGGATAGCTTCACTCCTTTTCAGCCCACTGAAATCTTTTCCTACAGATCCCACTGGCCTGGGCCAGAATCCACCCTCCCCAGCCCCACCCTCACGCTTTGTGATACTCCGCCCTCGGATGTTTAGTGTTTCCTTCCAGTGTGTCCTGTTTCTGTTTGGTTGATTCCATTGCACTGGCGTGACAGACTTTTATAGCTTGCACAATATTATTTTTTCTCCTATATTTGTTAAAATTTTAGTAAGAAATAATTGTCCAAATATTGCATCAAAGTATCACAAAGACACCACTGTAGTCTGTGTGTGTGTGTGTGAGTATGTATGTACGTATGTATGTATGTATGTATGTATGTATGTATGTATGTATGTGTGTGTATGTATGTACAAATGTATGTATTGTGAGTATGTATATATGTGTGTATGTATGTGTGTGTATGTATGTATGTATGTATGAATATAGTTTTTGAGACAGGGCCTTCCTATGTAACCCAGACTAGAATTGGACTCACCTGTATCCCAAGCTAACCCAAAACTTTCACAATCTTCCTGCACCAGCTGCCAGTTCGAGGATCACACCACTGAGCAATGGCTCAGGTTTAGATTTTTTAAACCCTAAGAATTACAACTATAAAAACATAGCAGAGTTGGGGAAGAGCCTGGACAAAAGACCCCATCAGCCTAAATTAGTAGAGTCCCTGTACCTGTGCCTCATGGTAAGAGGCTTGGTCTCTGGTCCTGGCTTTGATCCTGTGACTCTGACCCACAGTGTGGAGCCCATGGTAGACACAGGGCTGTATGTCCATTCCTGCAGCTGTACCTGTGACTGACACTGGTGCTCAAGACAGTATCATAAAAAGGCATGAAATAGTGTACTAACAAGTTTGGATTCACTGTTCAAATGATATTTGGAATACACGAGATTAAGTAAAAAAAATAAAATAAAATAAATTGTATGTGTATCCTTTAACCTTTATGTTATTTTTGGCTCAAACTCACAGTCCTGGCTCCGTCTTCCAAGTTTTGGGATTACATCCATGTACCTTGCTCTTTTTATTTTTTTAAGTGTGGCTATCATACGTTTCCACTGGACAGCAGCACACTAGGACATTTTCCTAGGTGGATATTATAAAAACGGACAAAAGGTTGAAGGATGAGGTGGTTTAGTCCTGATCCTCAGAGGCTGAGTGAAAAAGGTCTCTGAGAATTCTGGGCCAACCCAAGCTGCAGAGTGAGATTCCAAAGTTGTCATGAACTTACCATATCCTGAAGATAAATGAAGCTTTAGTTCAAGACTGACACCATATGGCTGATAAATACAGAAACCTGTTGAGAGACAGGAAGACACCAGGAAATACAGAAGGAACAGACGCTGGTAGAATAAGGAGGGGGGTGGGGGGAAGTTGTTCGTAGTCTCCTGTAAAAAGCCATACCTGAAATCCCAGTATTCAGAAGGCCGAGGCAGAAGGATCACTGTGAGTTTGAGGCTGGTTTGAGAACATGATGAGGCTCTGCCTCATTGAAACCAGAATAAATAATAAACTGGCAGTCCAGGTCTGCAGGCTCAGCACTGGGGGGTGAACCCAACAAGATCTCCTGAGCCTACTGTGTCCCTGGGACCCATGTCAGACCCAGGTGGAGAGCTGACCACTTCTGGTATGCCCAGCTGGAGAACAGGGCTGATGTCTAGAACTTTCCAGAGGCAATGCAGATTACGGGCTGGAGTGGCTACTCGGTGCCTCTCTCCCTCTTCTGAGGGGCTTTTGTTGGATTAATTCCCATTCCCTGGGGCTTGGGTGAGGCACCTGTGGCCTCCCTGTCTGGAATACACTGGCCCTTTGACTGCTGAGTGAGAGATGTTTGTTGGAAGAGCCTTAAGATCCTTCTCACGCTGTACAGAGAAGTTCCCGGATATGCCAGTCAGTGCAAACCTCAGAGAGCCTGGCAGGCTGCTGGCCTCTGACCTCTGAGGAGCTGTCATCGCCCAGACTTCTTGAGTGAGGATTCGTATTTCACTTCCTGGTCTTTCTGACTCTCTTGTTTGTATATATTGCTATTTTTAAGAGTCTCTGGCAAATAACGAAAAGAGTAAAATTAAATTATATTTATATGAGTAACTAGTTTGTTGGGTTTTTTTTTTTCAGTTTAATAAAGTTTCTCTGCTTGACGCTCTGTGAACTAGTTTCTAATGTAGAAGCAAGAGTGAGGAAAAGGTCGGTGTCTGAATCTCTGGGCAGAGCAGTGCACAGCGTCTGTCCACACTGATGTGCTGGTCAGCGCCTGACCATTTAAAGTAGAATTTGATGCTGGGTTTCCCAATGAGGCATAATGTCACTTTTTTCTTATCTCTTCTTTCTGGAATGTTTTTTTTTAAAAAATTATAATTTGTTTTTCTACAGATTTCACTGGCCTGGACCTAGAATCCACCATCCCCACCCCACCCTCATGCTTTGTGATACTGATGTTTAGTGTTTTCTTCCAGTGTGTCCTGTTTCTGTTTGGTTGATTCCATTGCATTGGCGTGACAGACTTTTATAGCTTACACAGTATTACTTCTTTCTTCTATATCTGTTAAAATTTTAGTAAGAAATGATTGTCCAAGAATTGCGTCAAAGTGTCATAAAGACAGTACTGTAGTTTGGTG